CACTCAGCCAAGTCTCATGACTACAAAACCCTGAAAGTGCCCTGCGCAAGACACCTTGCTACCAAGCCCTCATCTCCGTACCTGCTGCATCCAAATCGCACATGCAAAGCAGGAAAGAAGACAATTCTTGAATTGGGTTCACAGATTGGGAGGCGTGAAACAGCATTGAGAGTCCTACGTGAAAGCCTCCTGGAGGTCGCCTACTCTGTCATCAACATATTCAGGAGTTTCGACTGCTGTTCACTTGGCACCTTCTTCCTAGAGTCCTAGAACTCCTGCGCGCGTTGCAGATTCCTACGAGGGTTTTGAATCTGCAGCCGTGTCAGCCCACGCTCAGGATTACTGTGGAAACCTGAAGGGCTAACTATCTCTACCCTGGGCACATTCGATACGCCTTCTTCAGGCTTCCGTGTTTTTCCAACAGCGGGCATCCATCAAGCCTCAAAAGTCCGATGTGGAAAATGTACGTCGGCGCAAGCATGTGGCAAGTGCTGGGATTTCATCAGGATAAGTTGCCCCTTCTGGGGCTTCTTAAGATAATTGCGACTCAGGCTCTTGCCCAAAGAATATAGCATTCCAGAAACATCCTAAACTTTATGAGAAACAAACCATCTTGTCAAAAGGATTCTGGATTGCATGTATGGCTGGAAGTCGTGATTTCTCAGACATGCTCTTTGACCTAGACTAAAAACAGCGCAGGTCGCGCAGCAGCGCTCCAAGCGGAGACAGCAATGTGTCTACAACGTCGTAGCACTTGCTACGAGCTAGGCCCAATGGTCTCTAATCGTAGCTTGGTCGGGGAATGCTCAATGCACTGGGAATGCTGCTGCACGGCGCAGAAACGAATTGGCATCTACTACCCTCCGGGATGTTTGACTCGGACTGCATGAGTTTTACCGAGCTTGCGAAGAGGTTTGGGGGCTTCAGGCTTGGGTTTTACTGTATCCCGGCTTATTCTGTGCCAAACGCGGTCAGTCGCAGTTGAGGGGTACTTCCGTCAACTTTGGTATACCTCTGACTTCGGGGTAAATAAAGAGTGGAAATCCATGCACACAGCCCAATATTAAGTTCCAGTCAGTTAGCTGAGCTTGACAGCCGTAACGCTTTCCCGGAGGCAGAAACAAAGTGGCCCAGCCGCAAGCCAGCTAGACTCACTTGCTCGAATCATGGCAAGATCTGGACTTGAACTGTGTATAGGTCTAGAGTTCTGAACCAATACTGCAAACAACGATCAGTTTGAGAGACCGGTTGTGCGACATCAGGACGTGGTTCGACTGCACTGCCAAGTGGTACCCGCAACAGCGGGCTGCAGGTTCTTGGAACTTTCTCGGATGCCTGCCACCACAGGCATAGGGGCCTCCCAAAAAGAACAAACACAACTGGCTAGTAGCAGGGCTTCAAGGACAACACCAATAAACATGGGCTGTTTGGAGGCTGGCAAACCATCTGCGATGTGGCAACTGATCCACAAGGAACGGGAGTTTAGACTCCTGATAGTTATATCTCAAGCGGGTTCGCATTCATGCTGGAGGTTCGGGCCTCAATCCAAACAAAGATCAACAATGGCGTAGGCCGCTCCAGAAAAGCACTTGTAATGCCCAAGGGTAAGCCCTAAACCTGCTGATCATTCGTACCATTCTTGGGGGATCAAACGATATGCTTGTTTCCTGAACAATCGGACTGAGGGCATGCCTCAGCTCTTCATATATGCAAACGGTAGAGATGCTAGTGTCGTTAGATGCGCTCAGGACCAGTACACCGTGCAAATGCTGATCCCCAGTCCTCAACCCTACCCAAATTGGAATCCCAATTCTCTCTCGTGAGACAGACGCCCCTGAAGCAGTCGTCGAATTCGGAGATCGCACCAGCTGCAAGCCAGCAGCGCGGCGCGTGCTCTTTGACTCTAAAGTTAGGTGTTGGATGGATTGGGATCAGCATGAAGGGGGGTTGAAGGGTGGGTTTTAAAGGCTAGGGTTTTGAGGTTCGGGTTTAGGCCACGGGTTGAGGTATTCGAGGGTGATGGCCTTTAATGCCAACAAAGCTTGGTAAGGCAGAAGTCTCGACTGCCAGCAAAGATGTTCTAGGGTCTATCCTGCGCAAATGATACAGTACAGGCCGCCAAGCAGCAGCTTGCCAACAGGGTTGCGGGAACTTGACAAGGGAGCGAAGCCAAACCTTGAATGCCTTTGAAATCGGCAGAGGCAAAGGCTTCGCGAGCATCAAGCTGCGCAGCAACACTGCGAAGAGTCGTGGCATGCCAATTACTGCAAACTGTAGTAGCTAGCTGATTGGAGCCAGCATGTACCATAAGACGTCACAAATTGCATTTTCCTTTCCATGTCCAGGCTGCAACAACTATCATTTCCTTCTAGGGGAATGTTATGGCAGCTAAGTAGGACAGCTTGTCGTCTCGATCTCTCTTGAGGAGCTGCGAAACTCGCAGAGCTTGTTGCGCAAATGCGGCAATCAGAGCAAGTCAAGCTTCGCATGTCTGCAAAAACTGGTGCTGAGGCTGAAGCTATTGAATCAAAAAAGATGCTCAATTACGCACCTCCCTCCTCCTTAGCTTTGGAAACACCAGCTGTTTAAGCACCCAACTGAGCCCCTAGTGCGAGTTTCGGCAGCAAGTCATCTTTCGACATGCCACCTTTTGGAAAAGACGTTGCTGATCTGATTGACCAGACTTCAGAGTCTCGACCACACCTGCGGCATTGAATTCAGGGCTGGGATGCAACATCAAATATGTCTTCAGAAGCTTGTGTAGCAGTGGCCTGAGTGGACCAAACAAAGAAACAACACTACTACAACACTGTGACACCCTAAATCTACCAGCCCCTGACACCACAGGTCCTTTTTGCAAACCCGTATCTGGCCAGTCCATCGTTTTGGAGTTCTGCAGTAATAGCAACAGCAGAAGCGATAGCAGCAGCAGCAGTGGCAGTACCAGTACCAGTAGCAGTAGCAATAGCAATAGCAGTAGTAGTAGTAGTAGTAGTAGTCGTAGTCGTAGTCGTAGTAGTAGTAGTAGTAGTAGTAGTAGTAGAGTAGTCGTCGTCGTCATCGTAGTAGTCCTTGTACTAGTAATAGTAATCGTAATACTAATAATAATACTGGTGGTGGTGGTGGTGGTGGTGGTGGTGGTGGTGGTGGTGGTGGTGGTGGTGGTCGCAGCAGTACGGCATGCAGTTGCCCTGCCATGCTCACGATAGATACTATCTGGAGCATCCGACTCAATCACAGACCAAAGCCTGCTGCTTCAGCAAAGGCAGCGGGGGCGGATCAGAGGCGTTCTCCTCGATGATCCGCCCTGGAAAACAAGAAAGGCCTAGATTTTAGCAGTGGTGTGGGGGGTTGGGTTGAAGGGTTTAGCGCTTACAGTTTGATGTTTCGTCAAGGAGCAATGGTTAGAGAGGTTGGGCAAGGTAATAGTGTGAGGTTGAACAGTCGACCCATCAGAGCCTTGGGACGTTTCATCCAGTGCTGGATCAAGACCTCCCTGCAAGCTAATCGTGTATCAGGCCTGACTGGCATCTCTCTAAACCCTAAGCCTCAAACCAAACTCGAAACTAAGTCCGCCTGCAGGGGACAGGCGTACGGGCCGGCCAGTAGCAATCGAGCGATGGGCGGCCACACCTGGGCTGAGAAGCGTTTGGAGCTTTGGGTTCCAAGAATTTGCATTCTGCGACAGGGTACCGCACACGCCCTAGCACACTCAAGACCCATCCGTGTTGGATAGAACGATAGAGTCTGTGGTAACTACTTGGAAAACTACTTGTACCCTGGTTCTTGTCGGCATCGGAAGGCTCTTTCGGGCACTCTTTTCTGCCACGGACCTCATTTGGTAGGATTGGGATTTGGGAGCGAGATTGCCAGTTTCCAGTCAAGAGAGGTCCCCGTTTTCTAGCCGGCGGCAAAACAGAATGGAGCCAGAATCTGCCACAATTCATAATCACAAACCTTCTGGATGATGAGATGACACATTCACCTCGAAGTCATCCCTTCAATGTTGTCTGTGCTGTGATGTGGATTTGAGTCGGACTAGGATGGAACTTTCCTGTATATGCCGGGATGTTGTTACGCGTACCCTGACCGTTGAAAACGTCTCTCCACATAACCTGCGCATGTGAACCTCAATGCTGCGGAGCAGCCCATGAGCACGGCCATCTTTCCATCGCGTGCAGTCCTCAGGTGAAGCATGGCATAGTTCTTAACCGGCGCACTCCGCCAGAAAGTGAGGGATGACGGTCGGAAGGATGGCTAGAAGGCTTGGAAGCAACAGGTTCGTCGGACTGGCAATAAATGTGCGAAACGGGCAAGAAACACGAAAGAAGAACAAGCGGGAAAAGCAGCATTGTTCTTGTTCGAAGAAAAGGAACACGAAGATCACATGTAAAGCGACAAGCCATGGTGCCGGGAACAGCTGAATAATGTTGCACCCTCTTTGATGTTGCCCCCCCCCTCCCCCGCAACAACAGGGCCCCAAGAAAAGTGAAATTAAGGACCCTCAATACGGTCCCTCAAAAGCTCACGGTTCTGACAGCTCTGGGGATTGATCCAAAAAGGGCTGGTCTCGGCCCCCAAAATTTACAGGGGCCCAGGGCTGCCAGATTAAAGAGGACCTCAAAACTGGGCATTAAAGAGGATTCAGAGGCCTGCTGGACTACCCCCTTTGCGCAAATGGTTACGGCTGAGAATGTCAAGGTTTTTGAATAGTTGGAAAAGGAGCTTAAAAGGCATGCCTTTTCAAAATGAAAGAGGCATGAGAAAGCTTCCTACTTTTTTAGAGACCTAAGTCAAAAAACATTAAGGGGGACCTGACAATCATTACCCCTGATCCTCAATAAGCGGGCCCAAAACACATTTTAGGGGGCCTCTAAACTAAAGCAGGTGCAACATTAGTGCTGATGCGAGATGTGAGTCATGCACGAGCCACACAAACCCACCACCCAGGCCTTACACAACTTTGCGATAGCTCGAATATAGAGGACTTCACGCTCCCGTCAAGGCAAACCGAGGCTAAGACATGCAAGCCTTCGTTTTGAAAAACTTGACCAGCTGCGGTCTAGAGTCACTGGCACAGGCCGCTTGCCTCGCACCGCTTCCGCAAATGCTTCCAGCTCAAAGAATGTGGCACCTTCGTGGTAGCCGGCCTTGGCATACCGCGTGGGTCACAAACAAACCATGATGGCTCCTTGGGAAACAAAGCCCTACACAACCCTTGACCGAAACAATTACGGAACGACTACCAGCAACTTCTCTCCCCTGCTGAGGGTGGGAAGTCTAATTCGAAGCAACAGATTGTTGGCTGCCTAGGTACAGCTGCCAGCTCACTGGAAATTGGCATTCGAATAACTTCGGGCACAGCCCTTTCGTCCTGCAGGGCGCCGACAGCTGCAGAACAAGAGCACAAACCAGAACGAGGAAAACGACGGCCAGGACCGCAACTACGACCACGACGACAGCGCCACTGCCACTTCCGGCGCCGACACGGGCGGCCGCCGCCGACACCACCGCCACCAGCAGCAGCAGCAGCAGCACCACCACCACCACAACAACAACAACCACAACACCAAGACTCTAAGACCACACTATTAGCAAACACCAAAATCACCATCACCTCCAGTCATCCTCACACCCCCAGCGGCTGCCACTGCAGCAACATGCAGCAATTAAATTGCCACCGATCACCCTGGAATAAACAGAGCAGCCTGAGAAATTTGTTTGCCAGTCCGGGATAGTTCTCATGGTTTCAATCGAAGGTGCCTGGAGATGGCACTGACTTGCTTCGAGCGGCTGTGACTGTGTTGTCCAACTAGATAACTCAGGGAAACTCTAACTGCAGCTAGGCTAGCTACCTGAGAGAAAGCTCTCACTATCGCGCTTGTAGCCACGTTTTTCCGGCAGCATTTAATTGACTTTCCAGGTCAGTGTTATCTTTCAGCAGGCATAAAGCGGACTCATCATGGTGCACTGGAAAGGAAATCCGTGGGACTCAAGCTCCTTGCCAGGTGGAGTGCGGCCAAGACCACGGACCTTTCGTCGCTGAACTATGCGAACCTGAGCACAGGCCAGTACCCAGGCAGTCTCTTTGAAGAGCTCACTTGCTTTATATCCAACTAGACGGGATGCTTGTAACGACCATTTATGAGGATTAACACGTCGCAGATGCTGCGTTCGATCGAAAAGCGTTCATGAGTGAATTCCCGCAAACATTTGCGTCATTTGCACATGAGGCACCATGACCCCCCAGGCAAAGAAGCATGCGAGCACCTGAAGTATTGACGAGCAAGTTAATAAGCTCTTTTGGGTCCGTTTAGCCTCAATTTCTGTACTCCTTGTATCCAGAGTCGACGCGGGAACGCTGACTTCACTGACTCTGGCACATCTCTTGTGCAAGCAGGGAACAGTAGCTTCAGGGCATTTGGCCTCCACACTGCCTTGCTGGCAAACGACTCGCACCTGGAAACGATGGACATGTCTGCTTCGACGACGGGAATTGAAGGGCAAGCTAACACGTATCAGCTATGTTTGTACACGTCTAGTGAAAGAAAAATTACGGTATAACCTGGCATGGCTGGAAAGCGTGAATATTGCGCACTCCAATCAGAACATCTGGTAGTTCATGAGGTGCCCCAACCCCGTCCGAGTGTCACCGAAATGTCAGCATTGAACAGCTCTCAAAGTCAAGTCGTTTATGCATGCATGTCGCTTTGGAACAGCAAGCACCCCTGCTAGTAAGAATAACCTCGGGGTAGCACTGGCCAGACTGCTTAAAGACTCATGATCAAATCATGTAAGTAAGATGAATGACAAGGCCCTCATGGTTGTGGATGAAAGTTCCGCAGTTGTGCATCGCCTGTTCCGTCTGTTCATCCTCCGCAAACATGCAGAGATCCAGGGATGCCCTCGCCCCGTTTGCAAACTCCACGACCTGCAAGTGGCATTCCATCCTCAACTTCGGGCTTGGGCCTAGGGCTGAAACAACTGCCAGCTCTTAGTCATACTACTTACCAGCTCTTCTCACCTTCAATTATTGGAGTTCCAGCCAGCAGCCCAATCTACTGTACCGGACTTAGAATGCAGGCAGGGTTGGAGTGCTAAGACTGCTAGGAGGCCAATGATCCGATTCACCGCAGCTACACCCCACTACGAGTGAGCACGCTAGCTACAGTCTCATAATCGGCAAGTTTCAAGCGGAGGCTACATGGGTTGGTCTTGAAGATGTGCTCCCTATCTGGCTACAAAACACCTAGTATTCTTGGACAAAAATGAATCAGCAACTTGAGAAACAACCGACATGGGAGGAAGCCCTGCTTCAAGAAACACATGCAAATGCCAGCGGCAGCTCTTTTTGAAACGCTCACGCGGTAAGTTCCGGTGGGTCTGGAGATGATGATAGAAACCGTGACTATTCTCTAGATGCTAGCTCCCACCCAAGAACAGTTGCTAAACAGGAGGTTCTGAAAGTGCGATGCGCTTGTAAATCTTTACATGCGACTGGTTCCAGGGGGAAGCATCCTAACTATACATGCGAAGTGCAGTATCCGGACTTGGCACACCTCAGACATCCTGACACGCCCTCGCAGTCGGCGTTTCGCTTGCACTTTGGTCCATGCTTGCCCGCAACGCCTATGGTCTTTGCTGGCCCCGCATGACGCTGTCGTTTCAAGAAGCTATGAAAGGTTAAATTCTGAAAACAGAAAATATTCCAAAGACAGCACAGCATACGGAACGTGGCAATGTCCCGTGTATTGTCTACACTTATGTGGCAAGAACAGAGTTGCCATGCAAAGTTGAGACGCACTTTCCGGACTTGGAGGTTGGCTTCTCGTGGCGAGGTGGCTCCTGGGCCATAAAGGGACTGCTTACCCTCAAAATGACAGCTGTGATTCCATGCGAGGTTCAGGGGTGTTCCAACTCACTGCGCGTTCTCCCTGCTGGCGCCTATGTACTTAGAAGCTGATGTGCGAGTTGTTCTTGGTATGGTGCTTCAGCTTTCTCTTTACAACTCAAAGCTCAAAGTTTTACTCACCAACAGTCTCGTCTCTTTCTCGCTGGTGCAGAAACCGGAGCGATCGCAGCTCGTGCAGCCAGAGTAGCTCCTGTTTTTGAGCCGAACATCAGAATTACCCCCACATGATCCTGGAAAGGGCCCCCATGACCAGCTTAAATTCCCCCACGACATATCGTTCGGGCTGCACAGTGCGCAATTTCATGGATCATTAGAAAGAGTTCGCAGGAGCGTGAAAATTATTTGTTGAACAGCAAAGCCGTGAGGACATCGGCGGGGTGAGCAGCTATGTAAGCCCAGGCATCTAGATCTTATTGTACAGCCAGTAGAATCATTCTTCTGAGGGTTGAAATTGCTGCGGAGGTGACCAGGATCCCATTTTTTGGGGGGGCTTACGGATATCAAGGATCTTGGATCCACACTTTTGATGAGTTAGAGACAATCCTCAAAGTTACTGCTCACGTGGGAGTTCTCAGCATGCATTCCGCGATCCATGCTGTCAGGCTCTTGTAATTGCTGGTTCAGGCCCCTGTAGCACCACAACTATAGCTCAAAAAATGCCACAGCAAAGCCAAAGCTCCAGCAGTCGATGTTGCCTTTACATGCTGGTCCACGTTTGCCGGAACCACAGGCTGAGTCCTCGATCTGTCTACTACTCAGCACATCTGCTTGTTGAGAATTCTGTCGGGAATCCGCGCCGTGTCGGGCAGATGGGAGAATTTTAACCGCCACGCCCTCCGAAGAACCCCTAGGACCTATAATAAATATGACTAAAGATTTTCCAGTCTGCAGATCTTGCATCCGCCTGGCTCCAATCGGGGGCCGGGCTCCAGGCAGGTTTGCCCCAGGCAGTATGACTTGAGGGGCTCCGACCTCGCTGCTTGAGTACTTGATTACTTTCTACATTCTACAGTTCGAAGAAAAGTAAAAGAGTATTTCAACCCAAGAAGAACAACATATTCTGAAGGGCACCCTGGCCCCTGGCCTCCACTTTGGGGGCTAGGAGAGGGACTGGCACGTGAGCTGCCACAGACGGTCTCGAAAGATTCTGCATCGGCAAGTTTCCACACGCCGTCACTGCCAGCACACACTGACAAGTAAACCTGGCGTGGGCTTGTACGGTCTATGGGAATATCACGGCCTGGCCAGCTTGATTTGATGACGAAACCTAACGCCGTGCTACATAGAAGGAAGGCTGAAGCTTCTTACGATGCAGAACCGCCAACAAACAGGATGAGAAACGGTCTTAGTTGTGTGGATCGCACACATGAGCCATACAATTGGCGTGTGCTGACCTGTCTCAAAGTCTCTGTATGCCCCATAACCATTGTTCAATCTGAGTACCGATTGCCCATGAAACGACAGGTGCCATATTCTTGTCCGACATTGGGCTCTCTCGTGAAAGGGTGATACCGAACTTTTGAAAGAGTCCTGACCTGATCATGGGAGGCCACCGACCAGACGCACACGCCCAGGCGCTGCAGCTGATCTGCAGCATCAACCGCTGTGCCGCCCGCTGCCCTCACACCCTCCATGATTTGCAAGGGCCTCTGGTTGTCTTCAGGTCAGGCTTCGGGAATGGATTCCTACTCCATGAGACTGGCATGTCCTTTTGTCTCAGAGGTGGTGTAGAAGTTCCGTAGAAAATAACATTTGTAGGGACACTGATGAAAGCACCACCAGCAGAAAGAAGAAGGAAGCAGAAATAAGCAGAAACAGAACCATGCAGAACTTTAGAGCAGAACAAGAGTACGAGCAGGAAGGAGGAGGAGGAGGAGCAGCAGCAGCAGCACGATTACCACCACTTGCGCCCACGGGGGGGACGAAAGCTTAGAAGCAGGGTGCAAACTGGCGCGTGCATTTCTTCATGAAGCGGCGGAGCGCGAACAGCCTCCGCGTGCCCAAGAACGGCTTCCAACGTGCCTGAAAAACTGCCGCCTAGCGGGCCTAGCGTCCCGAACGGCCTCCACGGCACCGGCAACGGCACCCGAAACCACATCGAGACACACCCCTCGTCATGCCTATTTTCGAGGCCCGTGCGCAGGCCTCCCAAAAACCCTCCTTCCGTGGGGTCTGGCCCGCGAAACACGGCCAAATTTGACCATTTTGGGTGGTCTCCCCTCCCCACACCCCATTAATACAGATCAGCAAAGCTGGACTCAGAACAAGCTTGGGGAAGCCAAACGCACGGGCAAGAATACTGTTGAACAGAGAGGGCAAAGGTAAGCAAGCACAAGTGGCGACATGACTGCAGGCCTGCTGGAGAGCTTGCAGACCTGACCAAAATAGTCAGAAGCATCCCGGGTGCCAGCGCACGTTCCGTGCTTATCCCACTCATGCTGCTCGAACTGCACCTGGTGGCGCAACGGCTTGGGGCCTAGGATTCAGCTTTGGTCTCTTTAGAGGGCCCGCCTGGTGCCTTGTGCTCTCAGACGAACTCTGTGGCTTGTAGCAGGCCACAAGGTTAGTCGGATCGGCCGAGCTCACCGTAGGCTTTATGCACTTAGAGGTGCCGTAGGGCGACACTTGTGGCCATAGCCCATGCACTGCAGGTTTTGGGGACTTGTAGTAGCCATCTCCAGTACCCATCTCCTTCGTGAATGATTAGGGGCCTGAAGGGACAGGAAGGGCTCGGGGTGTATGTCTGTGTTTGTGTCTTTGTCCACCATTCAAGCCAACTTCATTGCCAAATAACGGACAGGCGACTAGGGCCAGAACCCCGCAAAGCGACACTCCGTCGCCGCAATCCATCTTCCGACCATGCGGGAATCTACTGCACTTGGCCTTACTTCTGAAGCAAACGGACAAAAAGAAAGCCAACATGTGATGTAAGGGCTCAACTTCAACTACCCCAAAGAACGTCTTGCAAGCAGCGGTGACCCGCACCCAAACAAATCGCTGATACACGTTTGCATCCACATCCTCGACCCATATCAGGTGCTGAGACCCTAACCAAGAAGCCGACACGCAACACCCAACACACGAAAATCTAAAGTAGGCCCCTAACCAAACTCCTGCATAAAAGACTTGCGCCAAAAACCTCAACGCACAAACGAATTCCTCAGCACAAAACTAATCTGTGAAGCCTAGCTCTCATCCATACCCATACAGAAGTTGCCGCGTTGTGTCTTTGGACATATCCTGCGAATACCTCTTCTTGAAAAACGCGAAAGCTTGAAAGCCAACGAAGACAGGCAGCTCCCTGATTGGTACGGTTTCCATGAATCTGCAGTAGCTGCAACGCATCATCTGCATCGAAAACCTGCTGCAAGGCGTGCTGACACCATTAATGCGCATTCTGTTCCTCCTCCTGCCGCTGCAGCGCCCGCCAGCACCGCCGCTGCTGCTGCTGTTGATGATATGGTGATGATGATGATGATGATGATGATGATGTTGCTGATCTTGATGATCCTTGATGATGCCTCTATGATGACCATGATGATGATGGTGATGATGATGACCATGGATGATGACGATGACTGCGACAAAGCTCATGACTGTGGCTAAAATTTCTTACCACAACTTCTGCCTTTAGCATGTCCAGTGCCACGGCTTTTGCTACAACAGGTTAGATAATAGGCTTCTGTCTGCAGGCACTTTTTGGCTTTGCAGCCTCTGAAGCCGAACTGCCCAACAATTGATGCAACTTCTCCTCGTTAATCCGCAACATGCTCAAAACACGAGCTCTGCATCCTCAACTATCAGCGCTGTTGGCCCAAACTTCCCAAGTCCTAGCCCCTGAGCTGACACATCTGAACCCTGAAAGTCCATGAGCCTGCTGAAGCTGTTGGACCTGGCACCCCGTGAGCGATGCCAGCAGCGGCAGTAGCAGGAGGCGGAACATGGCGAAAGCCCACTACGCTAGTTGGCAGGAACTTGATAGGTCATGGCTGAGTTGGAGGGCTGTGGTTGAGGCTGTTCGAAGCTGACAGTGGCGGGAGGCTTCAGGCCGAAGATGCATTAAAAAACACCGCGCGTCAAAAAGGAGTCCGCCAAATTATTGTTGCCACATAATCCTACACTGGAGCCCAATGTAACAGTCCCTGCCCCATGTTTTGACGTTCATTTGGTCTGCAAATCGGAACCCGTCAAGGCAGCGCTAGGATCCCTGCGGCCAGGGCATGGTCGATGATGTCAGGGATCCCACCGTCGTAGACCTACAGGGACAGACTCACGGAGAAAGGTGCTCATGGCATTTTGGGTGTTGAGCCACGGGGAACTCAAGCAAGCTTCAGCATGTTTAGAGTTTAGAGTTGGTACGACTCTTGTCGGTTCCCTGCTTGTAAGCTGGAGAATCCGAATTAGTTGACTTGACAAGACTCGCATCAAATCTCGTCTGACAGGTGGATTTCTCTGAATGCCTTGCCTTGTTGGCTAGCTACATGGCCAGAATGTTTGAGGTAGGAAGCGAAGGAGGACAGGGTGCAAGACTTCCCAATAAGCATTCGGACTCCAATGAAATCTCAAGCAGCTTGCGACTTGGGGATTAGCATGGGCATATTAAATGCAAAGGTCTGCTGGCCTGCTTTGAAAACTAAGCTTGACTGGCTTCAGCTTGACCATCAGTTGCCTTCGGCCCCTCCGAAGCTTCTCAATGCCAACCTTTCCAGCACGAATCCCTGAACCATAAGTCCATTGACATAAAGAATCAATGAAGGAGCTGATTGTACGACTTGACTCCACGTTTCTGCGGAATCCTTCCATACTCCTCGAAGGGGGCTGCGAACTCGCGTACTTTTCCAATGGTGGCAAAGTAAACTTGCTAGATTTGAAGAGTTAGGGTCTCGGGCTTTTTGGCTGCATGAGGCTAGCATCTCTTTGATGCGGCCGGCTTGTCATGCGCTTTTCCTGAACCAGGCCTGCCACTATTCCCAAGTTAGGCACCCCCACATCCCAATCCCTGGAAGATACACAAGATGCACAATTCCCCATGTGGCGGTTGTTCAAAATTCCTTTTCTGGGATTTGGCCAACTTTCGCGAAAAAATGTAATCCTTTCGCGTCGTCTTTCGCGAA